GAATAGGCCTGGAGGGACCCTGAGCCCCCTCCCAGCTTTGGGGGTCCCCTTTGGGGGCTCCAGGGAAGGGTCACGGGGACACCTTGGCCCTGCAGACAGGTGAGATACAGGGCCTTCTTGGGTGCTGCTCTGGGGGTCTGGATGGCTAGAGGGGTACAAAGGACCCAGGTCTAGCAGGTACCCTGACTCCCCACTATCTTTCATTCTCACCCCAATCTCACTCAGGACTCTCACTCAGGACCCTGCCCTTCCCTTCCATCCACATCCAACCTTCCAGGGACAGAGTCCTCTTCCATCTGTTACGTCATCTGAGCTTCACAGAACCTCCCAGGGAGGGCAGGGCAGGGAGGAGGGCACCCATGCCACAGCAGGAAAACTGAGGCTTAGGAGATCAAGCGGCTTGTCCAAGGTCATATAAGCTAGCAGGTGGCGGAGCTGCTACTCGAAGCCAAGGCTTTGGGCTCCAAATCCGGTACTTGTTTGATTCCACCCCCAGCCTCCCTTCCTTGCCTCTCCCCACTGCTGCCCTGGCCCCTCTCTACCACCACTTCCACTCTTTCTGTCTTTCCTCTTCTCTCTTTCTGTCTTTCCCAGCTGAATTCCTCCAGACCCTTTTGGAGGAGAGGCAAAGGATGCCCCTTGAGGAGAAAGGGAAGGGCAGGAGTAGAACCAGGAGCTGGAGAGTGGAGGTCAGGCAGCTACACTGCAACTCCAGGAGGCATCATCTGCACCATGGTCTATGCAAATGGAGCCCCCTGGAGTTGGGCAGTGCACAGCCTGGGCAGCTAGATGCAGCAACCCTGGTGGAGGTAGGGAATCGCGCCAGGCTTTGGATTCAGGATGCAGTGAATGCAGGAGGTGTTGGCAAACCTTGAATTGAACAGAATGGGTGGGTGGAGTCCTGGCCTGGGTCAGCCCCTTAGGAGGACCCAAAGGCTGTGACAAAGATAGCATTGGAAAAGACAGACAGGGCCGGCTTGGTATAGCTGAGGAGTGGGGGGGCCAAGCCCTGGGCAGAGGATCTGGATTCAGTAAGGGGCCTGTACAGAGCGGAGGCTTGGTCCCTCAGAAGCCCCCCACCCCTTACCCCACAGAGCCCTGGGGGATACTTGGCAGCACCTGGGAGGTGCCGACCCCGGGTGGCGGTAGGGGGGGCCGGTCCCACACTCACATTGTCTTCTGTTCTCTTCTCTTTCTCTGTGTCGGTGTCTCTCTCTCGTCCCCATGCCTGTGCCATCCTCCACCCCTGAATCCTGGCTCTGCTTGGCTTTCACTGCCCTCCTTTCCCCACCTGCCCACGGCTGTTCCTCCTCCCGTCCCCTCCTCCTCCCCGGGTGCAGGACGGGCCTCTTCACACCTGACCTCGCTTTCGAAGCCACAGTGAAAAAGCAGGTGCAGAAGCTCAAAGAGCCCAGTACCAAGTGTGTGGATATGGTAGTCAGTGAGCTCACGGCCACCATCAGAAAGTGTAGCGAAAAGGTACGACGGCCGCTAGGGCGGGGCTGGGCCTGGCCGTCCCTTCCGCATGGCCATGGACTCCCGTGGGCAGAACCATCTGCTGAGCAGGCCTGACAGCCTCTCGGCCACCCACGTGGACCCAGACGCCTGTGCTGGCCGGATGATTCCGGGCCCTTAGGTTTCGTGTCAGCTTATACCCCTGGGCCTGCTTACACTTATGATCCTTTTAGGCCCCCATCTCGCTAGAAGACTTTGCTTCAACCCAAGCATCCTCAGCGGCCCCTTTTGACCAACAAGAATTACAATGGTGACGATGAGGAGAAGGGGATGACTGATACTGTGGAGCACTTATCATATGCCATGCACTGAGCTAAGTGCTCATCTTCGTTAACCGACTTAAGCCTCCCAACGACCCTAAGAAGTGGGTCGTGTTATCCCCATTTTACAAATGAATAAACCGAGTCTCAGAAAAGAAGAGCAGAGTGGGATTCAGATTCAGGAAAAAATAGATAGCTGAAAAAATAGATCTGGGATCCAGGCCTCCTGGGGTGGGGGAAGCTATCCCAGTTCCTCCAAACCAATTTGCCTAAAAGCATATTGGATTACTTACTTTATGGTAATCCGTATGCGTTCGACAGGGTCAGCCTCTTTTGGGTCTGTGACCTGTTAAATGCCTTCTTCCTATTTGTCTACTTTTGGGCATTCTGAGGATTTTTAGCCAGATCTTCTGAAGGCAGTTCTTTCCAGGGGAGTTCGTGAGAATCAGGTGCCTGGGGGAGCCTTTCCAGGATTCAAACGCCCCTGCCCGGCAAGCTGAATCAGAATCTCAGGGAGAGCCCAGCTTTGCCTGTACTTGAAAAAGCTCCCTATGCTGGGTGGTGGGGGCACTTCTGCCTCAACTTCATGTTGCAAATAAGTTTCACGGGTTTCATGGCTCGTGCATAATTAGTCACGTGCGCCCCTTTCCTTATCCTGGCTCACTTTGCCCACTTTTGTGCCTAATGTGGACAGTAAGCAAATTAGCATCCACTCCAGGCCAGTTCCAAGTGGAATAAAATCTGGGCTGGACTCCCCATTGCATAGTATTTACCATGACATCTGAGTCACGGTCCCACTGCACCGTGAATACTCAGCAACACAATCTTACTTTTGTTAAACTTTAAAAAACACCAAGTTTATCTTAAGCTGCCTCAAATCTCTTTACAAAAGAAGACAAGATATAACTAAATTTTTTTAAACTTCAGCTTTTTGTTATAAAACTAATACCTTCTCAATTTTAAACATTTAGGAAATGCCAAAGCTTAAAAAGAAGGCAACAACCTTCCCTTTCCAGGGACCCACCAATGTGATTTTTGTACGTTTCTTGCAAGTATACGCCTTTAAAAGAAAAACTGAAACTATCAGTATTGCTTTTGTTCTGATTGTACATGATTGTTACAAAAATATTCGAACAGCACACAGAAAGCAAGTCCCTATCATCGTACAACCCTAAAAATAAGGACTATTGGCTTCCTAACTAACTACAAATATATGCCAGTTTTAACCTAAATGGGATCATATTATACACGCTGATTCCAGAACTCTTTTTTACTGAGCAGTGTATAATGGAAACTTGTACATAACTACAAGATCTACCCTTGAACTGCTGAATCATATTCCTCTGTAGAAATGTGCCATGATCTATATATTCAATATCTTATTGACATTTCGATTGTTTTAAACTTTTTTTTTCTTTTACAAACAGTGCCACAGTGACCATCCTTACAGATGTATTTATAGTACGTATCCAATTGTTTCTTTAGGGCAAATTTCTAGACAGACAATGGCCAGTCAGTGTATATGAACATTCACAATTTTGGTAACTTCCCCACTTCTCCAACATTGCCCTCCAAAAAGTTTTTACCAATTTATTCCTCCAAATCTTTTTTTCCTAAGGTTTATTTATTTATTTTGAATGGGGGGAGGGGCAGAGGGAGAGAGAGAAAAAAAATCCCAAGCAGATGCCCTGCTGAGTGCACAGCCCAACAGGGCTCAATCTCATGACCCTGAGACCATGACCTGAGCCGAAACCACGAGTTGGACGCTTAACTGACTGAGCCATCTGGGTACCCCCTCCAAATCTTTTTTCTGTACATAGGTTTATTTACCCTGTTAAGTAGTCACACTGTGAATATATTAGCATCCTGCTTTTTCTTTTAGTAACACACATTTTGGGGAGGTATGTTACATAGTCTACATAAACCTTTTTTAGTGGTTGCATAATATTCTACTGAACAGATTTATCATGGTTTACGTAACAGTTTTTCTATTGGTGAACATTTCTTTTTTATTTTTTTTTTAAGATTTATTGATTTATTTTAGAGAGAGAGAGACCACAAGCAGGAGGGGCAGTGGGAGAGAAAGAATCTCAAGCAGACTCCATGCTCAGCGTGGAGCCCGATGTGAGGTTCGAGCTCACAACCCTGAGATCAGGACCTGAGCCAAAACCAAGAGTTGAACACTTAACCCACTGCGCCACCCAGGCCATTTAAGTTGTCTCCAGTTTTTCAATATTATAAATAATCTGGCAATGAACATCTTTTTAGTTTTTTTGTTTTTAAGTAATCTCTACACCCAACATGGGGCTTGAACTCATCACCCTGCGATCAAGAGTCACACACTCTACCAACTGAGCCAGCCAAGTGCCCCTGAACACCTTTGCCTATACAAATGTTTATTTTTCTTTCTCTAGGAATTTTTTCCTTAGGGTAGATTCCTAGAAAACTGATTACTAGAATCAAACATTTAAAAACTGTGAAACAGTCTGCTGAATTGCATTCCAAAGGAAAGCAGTAATTATCGTAAATGGTAAGATTTTGGAAACAACCCAGATATTCTTCAAGAGGGGATCGATTATGTGATGTATCATGCAGTCATGGCAGACTATAGCTATTAAAAGGGCAAGGCATATTTATTTCCATTCACATGTCCCTCCACAATGTACTGTGGGAAAAAAAGCAGGTTTCAGAAGATAATATAGTATTGGGGGGAGGAAATAATATATGTAAATAAGAAAATTCCAAAGGCATAGTCATCAAATTGCTAACCATTATGTTAAGAGAGGGCAAGAAAAATAGGAATTTTTCCATTTCTACTTCGCAAATTTTAGTCTTACAGTGAGTCTGTAGATTTTTGTCAGCAGGAACATTGATAAAAACTTTAAAAAGGAAAGCTTATAAATTATTTCTAAAAAATAATGTTGCCTTTTGATGTATTTAATGAGTAGTAATTTTTTTTCTTTACATGGCAAAATTCACCCATCTTCTTTATTTTTTTTTCCCCCAAGTCTTCTAAAGTTAGCAAGGCACCCCTGCCAGAGGCTTCTAAATAGTCGATTCTAACTCTTCCCAGGCCTGCTGGATTACAACTTTCCTCTCTGGATGAAATCTGGAGTTTAATGTCGCCCATGGGATGTACTGCTCAATCCTCCCAAGGACCCTGAGAGGGAAAGTGCTGTTACTGGCCCATTTTCCACATGGAGAAACCGAGGCTTGGAGAGGTTGCAGTCACTTTCCTAAGGAGAGTCGGCAGGGCAGGGGCTGGCTTTGAAACAAGTCATGTGGCTCCCGGGCCTGCGTCCTTGGCCACTCACTCATGCGCTCCAAGCTGACCGCCCCACTCAGCCAAGGCCTGAGAAAGAAATGTTCCATTTTAAAAACTGGCTAAAAGTCCCGGAAAGGCTCAGAGACAGCCAGAATGGAAAAAGATGCTCAAAGGGAACAGAACTTCTCAAAGAGATTGAGCCTGCCCTGTCATGTAGGACACGTGGAAAACTTGACAAATGTAACATCCAGGCGGTTAGTGGGAGAATTGGTCATGCTCTTTGGCAAATTGCTCCCCCTTCCCTCCTTGCCCACCTCCCCCCCGCCACACACACACACAGCCCTGCCCTGGGAGGAAGCACTTGGGACCACCTCAGAGGAGGCCTCAGAGGAGGTGACTCAGTCCCAAATCTCTACCCCAGCTTGGAGACTTCAAGGAGCAGTGAAGCCCCTCCTTGGGCCTCATGGGGTAGCGGGTCCACCAGGCCCGTCCAGCCAGTGTTTGTTTGGAAGCCCCGGTCTCAGTCTACCTCTCCCCCAGGTCCCCTGTGCTTGGCCACATCAGCCTCACCTTGGCATATCCATGGGATGGTCGGGGGTGGGGAGGTGGGCCTCACGTCTCTCATGTCTACCTCTCCTGGGCATCCAGGGTGCCACTTTCTTCCCCATCCTCCTGCCTCTCCCCATGCCCCCCGCCCCATCTCCCTGGCCTTCATCTTGCCCTCAGGATCACTACCTGTGACCCAGGCACGCTAACCTGCAGGTCTCTTCCCACATAGGGGGATTCACCTGAGGGGCCTGACCCAGGCATGGGAAGAGGGACAGGACTGGTTCAAAATTTGCCCGACCTGGGTCCCACGTGACCACCAAGTGGGAAGGGCAGGCCAGCAGGACTCGAAGTTCCTGTGGGTGGGCTCCCCATCGTCAGCTCAGCGAGGCCCCCTCCCCGAGGAGGAGCTGGTTCATGAGCCAGAGGGGCTGGTGTCCACTCACCCTGGCAAGGAGGGCGAAGACATCCATTCTTCATTCATTCTCTCATTCCTTCAACCTGCCCTCTCTGAGCCGAAGCCGTGTGCCTGGCCTGCCCCTGTCCTCAGGGCAATGACAATCCAGTTGTGGGGGCGGGCACAGAGAGGCCCCTAACTCAGTTCTTGGGGGTGGTCAGGGCAGGCTTCCTGGAGGAGGTGGCATCCAACAGTCCTGCAGGAGAATGAAGCAATGTGGGCTTTGTCCAGAGCCCGGCTGAGATGAGGGCAGAGTTCACAGGCAGAAGGAGGAGGGTTTATAGTAACTCACCCTTCTGCCTCAGTTGATAAAAACTGGAGGGAAATGGGTACTGGTGAGCTCCCAGCCCAAAGGAGTGGGGTAGAGACAAGTTGGCTGGGCAGATGCTGCTGGGGATGATGGTGCCAGGCCGGGGCATGCAAAGGGAGGCAAAACTGGGCGGATTCTACCAAGAAGGCCCGGGGCCCAGCCAGGCCCCCGCGGGGTACTGCTCATGCTGCTGGCACCCCACTCCGCATGCCCCCCACCCCGTGCCCTCGCATGCCTTGCCTGGGGCTCCTGCATGTCCTGTATGTGCCTGCTGGTTTCCCCCTGCCCCCTCCCTCAGCCTGACTCAGGAGGCCAACTGGCACCTCGGGCCTTGCCTTCCCCAGATTCTTCCTGGATAGGAATCTCGAGGTTGTTGTCTGCCTGATTCCCCACCTGACTGTCCCTCCAAGCCTTTGGGAGGACAAGGGGTAGCCCTGCGGGTCAGCGAAAGCTCTGGGAGCTAACGGCCCCCCAAACGGAGGCCCCCATCGAACAGTCTGTTCCCAAGATGGCTGCTACCTAGGGGGCGGGGCAGGCTGAGCCCCGGGGGCATTTCTGCCCATGGGCACTGCCCCCCCCCCCAAGTTGACCAAGGAGGCCAGTGAAGAGGGCCTGGAACCGGAAAGACCCTTGAATTGCCATTTGGAACCCACACTTGGGGGAAAGGGTGGCCGTGGCTTGGTGCCTTCAGCTTCCTGGGACCCCAGGCCTCTCTTCCCCTCATCTGGGGCCTTCTGTGTGTCCCGCCACCCCGTGCCCCTGGATCCCTGGATTCTGGTGGGGTGGGGGTGCTCCCCGCCGGTGCCCCCTGTGTACGTGGCTCTCTCCCCTCCCGCCCCTCCCCAGCTCCAGCAGTACCCCCGGCTGCGGGAGGAGATGGAGCGCATCGTGACCACCCACATCCGGGAGCGCGAGGGTCGCACCAAGGAGCAGGTGAGCCCGCAGCACGCTGCTGCCCTCCTGCCCTCCTGCCCTCCTGCCCCCTCCCCCGCACTCCCATTTTGCATCTTGCCTCAGGCTCCCTTACACCTTCTCGCCTCATACTCTCTGCTTCTCTTTTTTACTGTGGTCAAATATATATAACATAAAATTTGCCATTTTCACCACCTTTCGGTGTGGGGTTCAGTGACGTGAAGCCCATTCACACTGTTGTGTGACCATCACCCCCATCCGTCTCTCCAGAACCTTTTCATCTTCCCCAAACGAAGCTCTGTGCCATTAAACAGTGACTCCCCAGCCCCTGCCTCCCCCCAGCCCCTGGCAACCACCATTCTCCTTTGTGTTTCTGTGAATTTAACAACTCTAGGGATCTCATATACCTGGAAGCTCACGGCAATTGTCCTTTTGTGTCTGGCTTATTTCACTTGCAAAATTTTCTCAAGGTCCATCTATACCAGGTGTGAGAATTCCCTTCCTTTAAAAAAAAAATATATATTTAAATTCAACTAACTAACGTATAGTATATTGTTAGTTTCAGAGGTAGAGGTCAGTGATTCATCAGTCTTATATAACACCCAGTGCTCGTTACATCACGTGCCCTCCTAATGCCCATCGCCCAGTTACCCCACCCCCCATCCCCTCCCCTCCAGCAACCCTCAGTTTGTTTCCTATGATTAAGAGTCTCTTATGGTTTGTCTCCCTCTCTGATTTCTTCTTGTTTTATTTTTCCCTCCCTTCGCCTATGCTCTTCTGTTTTGTTTCTCAAATTCCACACGAGTGAAATCATGATAATTGTCTTTCTCTGATTGACTTATTTTGCTTAGCATAATACCCTCTAGTTCCATCCACCTTGTTGCAAATGGCAAGATTTCATTTTTTGATGGCTGAGTAGTATTCCATTGTGTGTGTGTGTGTGTGTGTGTGTGTATATATATATATATATACATATACCATATCTTCTTTATCCATTCATCTGTTGTTGGACATCTGGCTCTTTCTATAGTTTGGCTATTGTGGACATTGCTGCTATAAACATTGGGTGCAGGTGCCCCTTCTGAATTCCCTTCCTTTTTAAGGAATATCTGAATGATATTCCATTGCCTGTATAGATTTTTATTTAGTCATTTATCAGATATTCATTTATTCATTCACAAACATAGTCACTGAATGCCGCCTCTGAGCTGGGAGGAGCAGAGATGAACAGGCCCCTTCTTGGGCCCGCACAAGGCTTATAGGCGAGTCCTCCTTACTTGTCCATCTCTCTGTCATCCTTCTGTCTGTACCCACCCCCGGCTCCCAATTCCTAGCCTCCATATTCACACGCCCCTTCTCCATGATGATGCTGTCCCCCAATCATTCACATCTTTGTTTCGATGTTGTGTTTTTGAAACCTCATTGATCTCTTCAATTACAAAAGTGATAAATAATAAAATATTCAATCATTATAGAAGTAATTAAATTACAAGTAAAGTGTTCCTTCATTCACTCCCTACCCCCAGTTCCTCCCACAAAATAACTTATTAACAGTTTGGTGTGTTCCCTTCCAGGCCCAAGCATTTTTTTTAAGATCTTACTTATTGGGGCGCCTGGGTGGCTCAGTCCGTTAAGCGTCTGCCTTCTGCTCGGGTCATGATCTCGGGGTCCTGTGATCAAGCCCCACATTGGAGTCTGCTCAGCGGGGAGTCTGCTTCTCCCTCTGCCCCTCCCCCGCCACTCGCACTCTCTCAAATAAATAAGATCTTTTAAAAAAGAGAGAGAGACCGAGACCACAAGTGAGGGGAGGGGCACAGGGAGAGGGACAAACAGACTCCCCGCTCAGTGGGGAGCCAGACGTGGGGCTCCATCCCAGGACCCTGGGATCATGACCTGAGCTGAAGGCAGCCACTTAACCAACTGAGCCACCCAGGCGCCCCTAGGCATTTTTTCCCTAGACATATACACATTCCAGATTCCATCTTAATCTTCAATAACCACAGTCCTGCTGTGTGTCTTGCCTTTTTTCTCTAAAGATAATTGTAGAAGCTAACATCTGTTGAGCACCCATTACATGTGAGACGTGTGATCTGCCTCATTTCATTGTGCCTTCACCACTCCTAGGAGGCAGACATACTTCATCTGTGGAACTTGAGGCTCAGTGAGCACAGGCTTATTACAGGGAGCAGTGGGGCTTGAGTCTAAACCTGGCAGTGTGCATCAGTAATGTTCCCCTGGTCATGACTCAGTTAAGAATCTCATCACTCTTCCTCATTTGCAAAGGGGATCTTCCAGTGCCAGAACCTAGAAATTGTCCTCATTCTTTTCAATAGCTGTAGAGTGCTTTATTGTTCAGACGAGGCCATATTTATTTCACCTTCTGATGGCCATTGGCTTGTTTCCAATTTTTCTCCATTACAAACTACACCACACTGAACACCCTGGTATACATATATCTCTGCTCCCTTGGTGAGTTTATCTAAGAGACATATATATAATTCTAGAAGTGAATATATGCATTTTAATATTGTTAAATGTTGCCAAATTACCCTCCAAGAAGGTGATCCTAATTTGTACTTCCACCAACAATATATGAGAATCCATCTTCCCACAGTTGTGCCCACACTGGTCATTACCAATATTTATTATTAATTTGATGGGTTATAATAGGATCTCATTGTTTTAACTTAGATTTCTTTATTAATGAGGGTGAGCCTTTTTACATAGCCTTATTGATCATATGCATTTCCTCTGTGAATTGCCCATTCATGTTCTCTGGCTATTTTGATTTGCTTGTCTGTCTTTCACTTACTGACTTGTAGGAACTCTGTTTATTATGGATACTATTATTGATGCACTGATTGATTTATTATGGGTTCTATATGTGCTATAAGTCTGTTTCTTCCAGCCTTTCATGCATTTTAAAACCCTGCCATATTTTTTCCACTTGCCTGCTGACCTGTGTATCCTCGAAGGTCATGCTTCTCATCGATATTGAGCTGGCTTACATGAATACCAATCATGAGGACTTCATAGGCTTTGCCAAGTGAGTGCTCCCTAGGCAGAGGAGGTGACACCTCCTGTGAGTGTGTGTGGGGGGGGGGTGTAGGACCCAGGCCTGCTGGGTTAACCCTCTGGGTCTGGTGCCCACTGAGCTGTGGCATTGAAGCGAGGCCTCTTGAGAGAAGAAATTCTGAGACTCTTCCCTCTTTCCCTGTTAGTGCTCAGCAGAGGAGCAACCAGATGAACAAGAAGAAGGCTTCAGGGAACCAGGTGAGTGAACCCCAGTGCCCCAGCCGGAGGGATGGAGGGTGCCGGATGGATGCCCAGCTCTGAGAGCCCCCTCCCCCGAGGGGAAGGGTCCCACGGGGGCCAGGGAGCCTGTCAGCTGCCAGCCACAAGCCTCCCACTCTGCCTCAGTGACCCTCTCTCCTCTCTCCCGATGCTTCTCGTGGTTGCTATGGTTACCTCTTTGCAGGATGAGATTCTGGTGAGTACCAGGACTGGGGCTCTTGGCTTATGTAGTGAAGGGGAGGAGGGGGCCCATTTGTAGCGGGATGCAAAGGGGGCAAAAGGGCACTCTTTGGCTTGAGCTGCTTGCACTCTCCAGCACATGGGTGTCCACATGTGCTCTCAGTCCAGAGGCAAGGCCTAGCCATTCACAGAGTCCCATCAGGCTGTCCATCAGCGCACATGAGCTTAGCATCTACTTCACGCAGAGGTAGACCATGCGGGCTGGGTGGGTGAGAATGGCTGGGAGGGGCCTGGCACGCAGTAGGTGCTCCTCAAATATCTGTTGGATGGATAGATGGATGGATGGATTGATGGATGGATGGATGGATGGATGGATGGATGGATGGATGGATGGATGGATGATGGCTATCTCTACCAGAGAGTTGAGTAAAGAGATGAATGAGTGTCAAGAGATAAGTCCATCCTCGCCCATTCTGTCCTTCAGATCTCTGATGAAACACCACTTCTCCTCCCCACCTGTACACACAAGTCATAGCCCAGAGTTTTCCCGAGGCCGTAGTTTCTTTGTAACAATCTAGGTGTTTGTGTGATTATTGGCTTCATACCTATTTCCTTCTCAAACCCCATGAGGGGAAGGGCTGGGTCTCTCTTGTCCATCAGCAAATTCTCAGCCCTACAGCCCAGTGCCTGTCACACAGTAGGTGCTCAAGAGAACAAAGACATTAATGAGTGTAATAGCCCAGGGCAATTTGGTTCAGCAAACACTCGGTGGTGCCTACACTGGGCTGGCCCTAGACAGGAGTCAGACTCCGGTCCTGACCCCTGGAGACCTGAGCCTGCAGTCAGGACCCAGGCAGGGTGGGAGTTGGAGGGGCAGGCAGTTCCTGGTGCAGAGGCTGTGGAAGGGGGTTTGGCAGAGTGGGGGGTGGCCAAGGGAGGACGAAGGCTGCCAGTCGGGGCAGGGGGTAGCGGGTCTGCTCATCAGTCCCTGGGGTGTGGAGTGCCAGGTCCTGGCATTTGGACTCAGTTCCAAAGAGAGTGACAAGACACTGAGGGGATCCTCACTGGACCTGGACAGGGTGGGAGAGGGACCATGGGGCACCTGGCTATCGTGTTTCTGTGAATGGTGAAGGCAGCTACTCAGCTCCTGATCCACTATGTTACTTGGGTTCTCTGCAAGGTTCTGGGGGAAGCCAGAGGGTCAAGGAGGGCGCTGGGGTGGGGAGTGGTTCGAGGGCCTCAGAAGCAGGCCTGACCGCAGAGGGCTTTCCCCAGGCTCCTTGGCTCTTCTCTGGATGCTCAGAGGAGCCAGGGAGGTCAGGGCTGGGGGAGGGAGCTCTTTCTGAATGGCCCACCACGGGGGTCTAGTTAGTGGCCTTGCCCTTGGAGTAGAATCTACAGGCCTGTCTGTGGTGATGGCTCAGAATGCTCTTGGGGACAGCTGCATCCTGCTGTGAAAACAGACCTTTGCCTGTTACTCTGGGCTCCCCAGGGAAGAAGGGGCCTGTTCAATTCATGCTCAGCCCTTCACCCTGCTCCCACTTCCTACCAGCCCACTCCTGTCCAGGCCCTGGGGCCAAAGACCCTTAGAACCCTACTGCCCTAGCGTTCATGTGTTCATGCCACAAATATTTATTGATTACTTACTATCTGCCAAGCACACTGCAAGGTGCTGGGACATACCAGTGAACAAGAGAGTTCATAATTTAGCAAGACAGGCTGACATCAGCAGATAATCTTCCCTCTCTCTCTGTCTGTCACACACACTCACATAAACACACACACACACAATTTTGAAATCTCAGCCTTTGTCACAGAAGAAGACTTAAAGGAGTGATAAAAGACTATAAGACGATGATGGGGGTCCTGACTTATCCTGGGGGCCAGGGAGGGCCTGCCTCAGAATGGGACTTCTGAGCTGATACCCAGAGGGTGAGGAGGAATTTGGCAGACAGACAGGAGGGAAGTGCTTTCCAGGCAGGGAGAGCAACGGCACATACAAAGTCCTTGAGGTCAGAAACAAGTCTT